TTATTCTTTCTCAATACAACTTCGCAATACACTTAATTTCCACAGTCACTTTAACTTAAAAACACGCTATAATTCACAACGGTTCATGCCAACGGTTCATGCACTTTACTTACGGTCACTACCGCGCTTGACTCAATTGTCCGTCTCTGTCTCTGCCTGTCTGCAATTATATCTATCCCATCACTTCTTGCCGATCTTATATATACAAAATAGAGGGCATCTGGCAAACATTCGAAATTTCAGGGACCTTCTAGATACTCATTACATGTTACCAGCGTCACGTGACTTCCGATCTCGTAACAATATATATAATTACATTTAAATTGCATATGTGTTTATAAGTATTTAAATGTATTTTTCACACTTTTGAAGATTAATGTATTTGTATACATGAAATCCTGGTACCTTTGTGCTTTCTAATTTCATACTTCCAGACTAAATTTTATTGCTTTTACATCATAACAGGTAAATACACTATACAGTTTCATAACTCCACTGTGCTGGTATATATATATATCTATTTAGCTTGAACATGTGATATATTCAAATTATTATTATCTTATGGGTAATAGATGTAATATTAGATTTTAGTTTTTGCTGGATCGTCATGTGTTTCCGGTAAAAGTAGTGTATGACGTTCCAGTTACTGAAGGTTAATTACACTTTATAAGAACGGTTTGCATATACTAATACAGTGAAGTCTACGCATGTGCGAGCCGTGGCACCACTGGTGACATCTTTGACACTACGTATTTGGTTCACGGTGAGATTTCATTGTAGTCAGAATAAACATATGGCTGGAGGCAGTAGAGAAGTTCAAAACAGTACGCATTTTTTTGTTTGTTTGTTGCTAAACGCAAAGCTATACGATGGGCTAACTGTGGTGTGCCCACCACGGACATCGAATCCCGGTTTTTAGCGTTATAAGCCTTCATACTTACTGCTTAGTCACTGAGGGACACGAGTGCCATCATAAATGTTTTGTACAAATTATAAAAACTGAATATTATAGTGTAGTATATTTTTTACAATATTTACTGTGTTAATATATTGCAGTACAGCTTAAAAACGGTGAAATGCATGAGTATGTATTCATCCTGCAGGTATAGTGATCACTAACAATTTTGTTCAGAAACTCACCTCAGACTGAAAGGATAAGTTTCAGACCCTTTCAAGGAAGCATATAGGTATATGGGCATTATTACTTATTATAAAGCCAAAGAACACAATATTTCTGAGTAGAAAGTCTTCACTCTTCTCAACAGATGCTGAAAAACTCCCACAACAGATAGCTTAAAACAACAACGGGCTCTGAAATCTCACCCAGACTACTCCCGAGAAACGCCCTTTTCAGAAACTTAAGGTTATAATTACAACCAAGAAATTTCTGGCTCATAAAGCCATTGGAATGAAATTAAACATATGTCCCAGTAAGATAACAAGGATTTCAAGTTGACAAAGGTTCACAAGCTTCCAGCCACACCTTAAAATCAATAGGTGTTCTCACGAGAAAAGTGTGTAAATAAACTGGAAACACAACAGTCCCATTCGACCACATATCTGTCAAGTCACCTGATGCCGCTTCAGTGGACTTTTGTCAAGATATGTGGTGTAACACTAACATTGAAGAAACTAGTTACACTGGAAATTGGGGAATCGAGCAATAATGCGTAGTCAAACTGTCACGATCGACGATGGGGGAAGTAATTCCAAGTATAGCACAGAACCTGAAGCCTAATTTTTATAAAGTGCTAGAAACCATTAATAAATTTATTTGTTGTAAATAGCTAATAATAAGGCTTTTTTTGCTCAATACCAGAACTCATCAGGGAGGGTAACAACATACTTAACTGAAATCAGGGGCGTAACAAGACTCGTAAGGACTTTGGCTGAACCTAGAGCAAGTATCCACTTCGAGTATTTTACTCGAGATTTATCCAATAATATTCCATTTCACATAAACTACATTTAAACAATTTAACTTAATTTAATTATAAAACAATAACATTTCCCACTTCAAGTATTTTACTCGAGATTTATCCAATAATATTCCATTTCACATAAACTACATTTAAACAATTGAACTTAATTTAATTATAAAACAATAACATTTCTACCTTTACAGTTTCTTCAGATGCGGAGTTTTCTTGTGTTTTTCTGTGCTAAACAGTTGATCGTGTCCTTTGTATCCAAACACTCGTTCATTATTTATCGACCGAATGGCAAGTCCACTTAAACGCGTGTCCTTCACTGAACTTTTTAGATAATTCTAATTTAATTTTAATGTGGAGAAACGCTCTGCTAATGCTACTATGGCAGGAAATGTAAGATATGCATGTTAATTATACACATACACATGGAAATGTTGTGGAAAATACACGCTTGTC